AGAAACGGACGATCTTGGAAGACAAGATTCTCAGCTTCTTCTCTGCGGACCGACCTGTCCTGCTCAACATCGGTTCCTAAAGGCTCTTGTGTCCTAGGATCGATGACAAAATTGCCCAAAAATGTTAGCCTGTCGTCGTCAAGAAGTGCCGAGTCACTGGACTCAATGTTAGATTCCTGGCCCGGACCGTTCATGGACGAGTGGCTATGGCCTTCTTCAGTTCCTTCCGGAACTATAGGTCTACTGTCCCCTTCACAAGGCCAAGAAAAGGGACTAGTTTCGTACTCGCAGAAGGTGGCCTCTGGTAGGGCACTTCCTTCTGCAGCGTGACTCGACAGTGCATCTATGCTGTGCTGACCTAGGTCTGTTCTCTGTTCGATTGGGCCCCAGAATGAGGCCCTTGAGCTGTCAGGACAGTGCTGAGTGCTCTGCAAAGAATCACGCAAGACGGAGTTACCACGATGATACTGTCCGTCACTATCACTGGCTGCCTGAAATGAACTCCGATTGCCAATGGACATAGCACCCTGTTCACAAGCATGGAAAACCTGAGTGGCATGCGAACTCGCTATGTTGAGGCATATAAGGAGAGCTTTCAGCTTAACGCTGTGAGGTTTAGGTCGAACCGCACATTTGCGAGAATTGCAGACACTTCTGCAAGGACCTATGCTATCACACCTCCACTTCAGCCCAAGTCTCACAAACAATAGCAAAAAGGCTAGTTCAGCTTGGACCCGAATTGTGACCGAAAGGTAGTCTGGCTGGATATGCACACCGCCGCTGACTAGTATTTGGCACGTCACCACTTGAATTGCAACCAGTAGAACAAACCCCAAAAGGACCCACTGGATGAGCTTGCTTCTTTGGTCAAATCCCCTAAGGGGTCGACGCCAAAGCAAGGAATGTATCAATGGACATGTTCGTCCAAATGCAGTGCAGAGTGCGCACAAAAACATTGTACTTACCCCCGCAAAAAGGTTCAGATGCAATCGACTGTCCCGAAAAGATGTCTCCGCAACTGTTCCATTGAACTCTTCTAGCCAAGACTGGTTTTCGATTCCGGTAGGCACCCAGCCTTGCGGAAATCTATTCCACTCGAAAACAGGCTCATGAAGGTCGGTTGCAATCAAATGGCAGACCTCTGTACCCTTCCAAATGCCGTTTCGAATACCCTTCAACCCTTGAATGCATGTCGCCCCTTGAAAAACGGCGCCAAAAGCACCCGCCAGGAGAAGTTCATATTGCATCAAGCCATGGTCTGATCCATCACCGACCGACTTTTCGCTTCCACTAAGATCGAAAGAAGGCGTATAAGCTTGACTTCTCACCTGTCGAGCCTCTCCAAGGAGTTGGAGGGCTCTCTTCGGGGACTCCTTGATGTGCTCCTTGAGCGTACAGGAACAGGAAATGTCTGCTCCTTCAACGCTTTCTCGGCTGCCGTCAGCAACTTGGCACGAGCTGCTCTGGCGGCCACTTCGTCTGGTAAAGTTCTTGCCAACATTGATTGCGGAGGCTTCGTCAGTTGAGGCGAAAGGTCGTTCGCCATTCCCTCCGGCCTCGTCATCTCCATTGCCCCAACATAGCTGTCGACCCGTTGCTGAAGATTTCTCATGATAGCGTGAGTACGCTCGAGCTCCCTCTTCAGTGCTTCTTTCTCCGCATCCTCGACTGCCACGTTGTCTCCTCCATCTGTTTCTTTCATCACAACTTTGTTGAGCTCTTTCTGGGCTTCTGAGAGAGCGTCTTCCAGAGCTAGCAAGTCTGAAGCATGCTTCTCCTTCTCCTTCTTTCGATGAGCCTCCATTGCATCCAGAAAAATGCTCCACGCCTCCTTCTTCTCGGCTACCTTCTGTTTCAACTTTTCGATCCTCCCAATGATCTTCTTTTTGAGATTCAAGCTCCTCTGTTCTGACTTGATCTCTTCCATGGTGTTGGAGTCGCTGTGTAGTAGTTCCACAATGTGTGGATCCACCGGGATGTCCTTTGCTGCAAGGAATTCTCGCATTTCCTTTTTGATCTCCTGGACTTCCTTGGATTCCTTGGCTGCAGAGGAAGACGAGGATGACTGCAAAGACTCGTAAGCCGGAAAGGCATCCTCTACCTTTTCGTTCTTCTTTGCACTCTTGTCTGTCTTCGCTTCCTTTTTGGGCTTCGGGCCTTTCGGCTGCCCTTGCTGCTGCCATTTGCTCCACCATGGCTTCCCTTGAGCTCCTTTGTGTTGACCTCCCCATCCCATGGGTCGAACGAAACTGTGGTGCTCCTGCAAAATGCGTCGAGCCCTCACGAGCCGTCCTTGAAGGTCCTTAGACAGGTGGGTTGCCTTCTTGGCCTGCCGAACTAGTCCTCTTGCCTTTGCTCTACGAGAGCGTAGGCGCCGGTGCCAGCTGGGGCTTTTTTCTCTTGGTATAGTTGCGATTCAGCACCAAGTCGCCGCTGCCAACCCCACCACCAAGCAGCAAACCACTATGGCTATCCGCAACGCGCGTAAAAACGCCGGTAAGAACGAACCCAAAAAAGGGTTCTGGGGCCCAATGTACGCACCGCTGATGGTGCGAATTGAGCCCTGTGCTATATAACAGCAAAAAAGAAACTGTTCGACTGCATTAGGATTCCTTGACGTGGAGACCAGGGTTTGCCAGATCTTCGTGACCCCCACATTTCAGTGCATGTCTGTTAGGACACGTATTGGACCATTGGATGTAATTCTGTCATGTAGTCATTCAACTTGGATAAAAAGATGAAAACGGACACACATGCAGCATATCTTGGAATCTTGGAGAATGTGCTGGTGAATCAAGACATCTCAATGTTTTAGCCCTAAGGCCCCAACTAAGTACTACAGATGAAGTAGAAGGTATTTGGACATAGTTGGACCCTCCAAACCCAAGAGGATGGTTGGAATCCTAGGGTAGCCTGTCCCCCTTGGGGAGGTCTCAGAGCGGGTGACCACTGAGAGCATTGAGGGGCCCTTTCAGCTGAATCCTGGCGAAGAGGCCCGCGGGGTGCAGAGTGCAGACCAGACGGTCGAAGTTTCACCAGAAGGTCGAAATAGGGAGACCTCCGAACTCTTGCCCTGGCTGGTTATATAGGTCTATAACTTCCGAAGCGAACCCAGAAAGTCGGAACGTCTGGGTGTTGGTCTCCCATGTCTTGAGCTGCACACCCACAGCTTGCTGGATTTTGCAGATCAACGTGGGGGAATGACATCTTTCACGGGCTACTGAGAATCGACGGCATTGACGATCGATAGAGAGGTCCCCGAAAGCAGACGACGTTTTGAATGCTGAAGGTGACTGCTGCATGGGGGGTTCCAAGATGCTTCCAGGTTCAGAATGATACGCGCAAGAGCCCCCCCAAGGGAAGATTTGGGAAGACAGAGAAGCAACATCAAGCAAGCAATTTGACCAGGGTGGTGACTTTTTGGTGAAGATCCACAACATCACCGGATGGACGGACATGCTCAGACCGCTGCTGGCACCAACCTGGTGCCAGCTCTCTAAATATCAAGATGATTGCTGCAGCTTGGTGTACCTCGCGGGGACGGGGCTCCCTGAAAAAATGGTGCTTCCACATTCCACACCTCATCTCCGCCGTGACGTTTGGCAGGCACCGCTGGTCTGCTTTCAGTTCAAGATGTCCCACTTTGTATGCAAGGCTGTGGATCGGATCGTGGGGATGTGCCGATCCCTTTGATGATCCAACCCTGAGAATGGACCCAAACACTCCATGGGACTGCCAAATTGACCCCCATTGACCCATTGACCCCCAAAACCACCCCAACTGATTGGCGTATATAGCCCATATATATGGCATACATGGAAGTATATATGGAGTGTTTGGGGTGGTTTTCACCATGTTCCTCTACAGCACGGTGATTTTGGGGGGGCCCATGTGGTCCATCTTACAAGGGAGGGTCATCGGTTGGTCCGGGCTTTCATCAACCAGTTCTAAAGGGTAGAAGAATTCTCGGTGCCCAGCTGACTGGCGCCAGACAGCTGTAAAAACGACCATTGGAGTGAACCGGGTCACAATGGCAATTCTCCCTATTCCGTATTCATCTACGTGGAGCAAGATTATGCTGCTGCTGCTGCTGCTGCTAGCCCGCCAGCGGCAAGATTGGCTTCATTGTGTTAGGCTCGGACATGGGACTGGCCAAAATGATCCAAGAACATCTATAAGAACCAGGTGTTGCTCTCGTGCCGGCGGGTCTTGACCATTCCACACCCAGCCCCGCTGTGCTGGTTACCCGTGCCCCGCGTCGCATGGTTCCCTGTTCCCAGCACCCTGGGCCTCCGAAGCGAACGGACACCGCACCGGGACCGTTAGTAAGGCCTACCTCGCCGCGGGCGCGGACGAAGGCGGCGACCGGGACAGACCGGAGCTTCTCAACGTGTTGCTGCGTTGTTTTTTGTTTTTTAAGGATGAAACGATATGATTTGTTTTTTTTGTACAGTGAAATCGACTTCGGCATGTGCCTTAGAGGCTGCGAAGCAAGGGTTGGCCTGCAGTGAAAGTTTCTTTGTTACATGCTGGGATCTATATATTCTCCATCTCAATCTCAGATGTATAATGCGGCATTTCTTCATCCTAGATATTCGGACGTCACTTGATGTACCCTGGAGGAACACGGCATTTGAAGCTTCAGACCATCTTCGAGGACAATCGGAATGGCTTGATCGAGGAGCACAGGCACGGATGTGAAAATCAAATTGATGTGAAAGCAACAGAGTTTTTTTTTTTACTTGGGTTTGGAATTTGATTGAAGATGACTTTGATCAACTTTTATCTATATAATCTAAATCTAGCTATATGAATCTGTGAAAGTCTTTGTTGGTCACAGCAAAGCAGGACAACTCAATTAGGTGCCTGTCATCCAGCGTTGGGCAATGAGAAAGGTTGAATATTTTATAGTTTATTACTCGCCATCCTGTGATACCCTTTGTGTATGTTGCAAGAAGCCCCCCAAGCAGGAACATGTGTCTCGCGTCGCCAGGTATTTCATGGCAAATGAGTGGAATAACAGCAAACCGTGCCCATGGGGGTGGGGTTGATGCTTGCGGCATGCGTTGTGGTTTTCTTACGGTTTCCCGCAGACCCACCATCCTTAGGTTATTTGACACAGATCAGCTCGGAGCGCGTTTTCGGTAATACAGTCAATCGACCTATGTTTTGTTTCCGGCTGATCACTTCGATTGGTCTCAGATTCATGCATCATGCTGAGGCAACCGCTGTGGATTTATCGGCTCAAGCCTCATGACACGGGGATCACGTTCTTCTGGAGAGTGTTCCTTTTTTCAGATTTTTTCCACAGAGGATCTGAATCTTCATGGAAAACCAAAAGTATTTGGAGGGAGCAGGAATTACACAGAAACTACAGATCTGTCCATTCACGTTGCATGGATTTCGTAGGTTTTGTTTTTTTGTCAAGGAATTGAGGATTGACTGGCTTCCGTCGAAACATGATGAAGCTACAGGCCACTCCTTCTCAAAAGGCATATGCCAGCAACATGTATATACAGTATGTCGATGTGGCGTTTGTTTAGAGAAACACGTAATACACACCAGGCATTCAGCAAAACCTTGTACCATTAGTCTTTTGAGCCTCGCTCGTCTGTGCCGAAAGAAATTGGCCAAAGACCACGACGAGGTGGCAATGAGAAGTGCAGTCGTCAAAAACTATGGTCAGATCCATGACATCAGTTTTGCTTGATATTTCTTTATGTCCTCAGCCTCGCCTCTAACTTGTGCTTGGACAGGCTCATGTTCAAGTTCCCACAGCCTTCGGAAGAGGAGATGAGACCAGCAGAGATGGAATATATTATTGGATAAGTTATTGGATATTATGTTGGTTGTTGGATCTTATATGTTGGACTTGTCCCGTTGCCTGTAACAGTTGTTAAACAATTATCACTACTTTACAGAAAGGCCTTCAACTATCTTTAACTAGCCATCATTCACGGATATCAACGGTAACTTAATTATAGGATATACCTTTCTCGTTAAATGGACTTTTGCGGATGGCAGGCGATGGCCTGTCGCTGCGATCGCCCACTTGGCGGTATTTTTCTTTTTGGATCTCACGATCAGTAATGGTCAGGGCTGAGGGTGAGAGCCGCCCTGGGTGATTTGTTGAGTCCGAACCACGAGTTGTGGTTCGCCAATCAGTCATCGCCTTGGATTGTGAGGGAAAGTGGTGCGCTCGAGCCATTCACTACTCCTACATGAACGAGCTTTGCTTGGAGCCGATTTGTTCGTAGATTGAGATGTGTTCAGACTCGCTTTCTTTGGAGGAGAAGGCGAGCCCTGCCAGCGTGAGCCCCACGAGGCGCCCAACAGAAACTCGATCGGTTGCACCCCTGAAACCATAATTTTATAACCCATGTGTCAGAAATCTCATCCCAACAGATGTCGAAGTGGAAAAGGCACTGTTTGCAGAGGAAGATGTTAAAGGTAGTTTTCCAAGTGAATTTGAAGGAAGTTGGAGGACATACGGCAGTGTTCGACAGACATCATACTGTTCGACAGAAGACGGGCATGTTGTTCGACAGAAGGTCGAAACGGTCTCCCTGGTTGACGGCAGCGGACATGAGCAGAGAAGACCACTAGGTAGCCCTAGGGATCCGTTTTCATACCTCAGGTACGGTTTTCTGTGTTCGACACTGAGACATGTAGGTGCCAGCCAGTCGGGTCCAGTCATACCGAACCTGAGGAGGTATGAATGGATCCCTAGGGTAGGTCCACCGATTTGGAGCTACTGACCCCACTGCCATGTGTATCTCCATTTGAAGAGGCTGGATGGTCTTGGTCGATGGGCGTGGGCCGTGGCGATCGCGCCAGGACTGCAACCGATGCACAGGTGAGGTCTGGGAATGCGATGCAACGGGCTTGGTCTTCAGTGCTGTTCGCTCACACACCTTTGATGAAGTCGTTTGAAACCAAGGAACCTCCACCCACTCATTTCCACTATAGTAGTTTGTCTTGACTCCGGACGTGCAACAGCTGCCAGACGCTGCCAGGATTGTTTGCCGATCTTTCTTGGTGAATTGGGGATACGAAACGTGAACAGGTGAATTTCGTTGAATTCACCTTGATCTTTCGGGGATTTCAGGTGGACCGGTGAGTGGTCGAGTGACTGCTGACGGAGATTGGTTTCATCCCACCGGTCTTCATTTGGACCGGTCTTCGACGCCCGCACCAGGGAGCACTGGCCGAACATATGCCCTGCCCTGGACTAGTGACGGTGCTACATCATGAACAGGCAGCGTGACGGATGAAAAGGGTTGAGCTGCTTGAGAGTTCTGAGTCTTCGGGGATTCAGCGGAAGTTACATCTAGCAATGGACTCAGTGGTTGTTACATCTAGCAGTGGTTGTTTGATCTATGTCTATAAGTGATCTATACCGCATCACTTTCTCCATTTCTGTCCCGCAAAGTAGCTGCAGTCTCCTGCCTTCTTCGCCTGAAGACTCGCCAACTGTCTTCAGTCCTTCTTCGGTCCGACTTCCCAGGAGTTAGATCGCATCCTGGAAACCTTGGGCAGCAGGCCGACCGACCCCAAACGGAGTGAGGAGGTGTTCAGAGGTGTTCGGTGTTCAGCCTCAGCGCTTTTCTCATTTTTCTGGCAACCGGTGTTTGACACATCAATATGTGTTTCATGGCGTCCGGTTGCGCCAAACCACGAGGAACTCGATGGAGCGAACGGACTAGAGACGACAGTTGGACGAACGTCCTTCCCCGGGCACAGCTCGTGGGTCAGCGAGGTGGAGATGGGCCATTTAACCGGATCTGAGATGAAGGTAGCTGCATCATCCGCGAATGATTGAAATGTGTTGCAGCAGGAGCTCCATCGCGGCCCCAGGGTTCGCAAGCCCCAGATGAGTCGCCGCCAAGGGATATCAAAAGACTTCCCCGAAATAGGGCACACACACAGTCACCACCCAGGCTTTGGGGTTGAGGTGGGCGAGATTCTTTGCTCTTGAATGCTTTTGAGTCTGGTGACTCAGGTGGTACTGTAAGTTGTTAATGTTTTTATAAGTTGAAATCCTGGAGCACCCTGGATTTAGCCGCTTTTGCTTGACAACCAGTCTATGTCATGCTAGAGCTGGCACCCCCACTTGCAGCCCGAAGTACACCCCACGACCCCCCTATCCACGCCTCAACCGCGCCATCCGACCGCTGAGGCGGCAAAACACCGGGCTCCAAAACCTTTTAACAAACACACACACACACACACACTGGGAAGAGTTATGGTGAAAAGGCTTTTGAATGATGTCATAACCGTTGACCTCCTGAGTCTACGACCTCAACAGTCAATGCATATATGCGACACCCGTCAAGGTCTAACCATCGTGCCTTAATGACCTGCAGCCTGTATAAGTGGAGTGAGAGCTTGAAAGGAAGGCCGTTCCAAAAAGCAGGTACAGGAATCTGCGTCCACATTCCCTTCCGGCTGAATCCCATAGCTTCGTTGGCATGGCTGGGGAAACAAAATCACATAGCCCCCCTGCTGTCCACTTTCAAGCAACTTCACCATCGAGTGGTTTACACACAATCAGAACACATATTTAATATAACTTAATCAATCTTAATCATATTTACAAACGTACAAACAAGACACCACTTTGACATGCCAGGTGGGTGGTCTTGGAGCTTTTGGCCTCTTGGTCCGCCGCCTGTGCAGCCATCCGCAGCGACTTCGAGGCGGCCCCCCCGTCTTTGGGAGAGACCTTGGCGCAGAGGTTTCTAAAGGAGTTGTTTTTCTTTTCAGCTGCCAAGTACCTTCTCAATTGATCATTTTTGGGGTGCTGATGGATGCTGAGATGGACCAAAAAGGGGGGGTCCTTTCGGTGCCATTTGACTGTCTCCTCCGCCCCCGAACCCGCGCGCACTCCTGAAAAGGTCTTGGCCAAAGCGTATCCGACCTGGATTTTTTCTTCGCGACGGCCTCGGAGAGTTGGGTGCGGTGCGTGGGAGAGCCAGCAACTGCTGGAGAAAGGCAATGCCGGAAGATGCCTTCGTTTCGGGGGAAGTCATTTGTGAAGGTCCATGATCCGGAAGATGGCAGGATTGGGTTCCAGGATCTCAGGGCGATAGGCCAATGTTTTCCTTGAACCGTTTTGCATAGACCACTTGGAAGGAGGTCAATATGGCTATAGTTTCCGTCAGGTCCCTTTCCATTGCCGCGTGTTGACTACATCAGCACTGTTGAGCGTAGACCCGGCGCATATTTTGCATGTTTCGCGATGTGCACGATGTGCTCAGGCGCCGATATCTTGCAGTTGCCAGGGTTGGCGAGACGGTGGTCCTGCACGTGGGAGCCTTTGAAGACCGATCCGGTTTGGTCATGGATGTGAGATGACAAAGGATTTTTGCCTGGCCAGAAAGCATGCTGAAGTGGATGGCATGGTCGCTTGGAAGACTATTTTCTTTGATAAACAGTGGGCCACTTCTATGTTATTGAGACGGAGTGTAGGTATGGTCGACTATAGGCTACCAATTCGTAGAAACACATCCACACGTGTGAAACCTCAAGACATGAGGCTGTAGATAGGTTGGTGCATGGGCGTATCTACAATAGGTTGGTACTACGGGTCCAGAGATTTCTAGCAATGGACCTCCCCTGCGATTGACATTTTGACTCTCGATCGACCGGTCAGAAGGAGAAGGTTTTCGCCACTTGGTCCGGGATGCATGTTCATGACCGGGATGCATTGAGGCAGGACCAAGCACACACGTGTTCCCTTTTGTTGAACGCCCTCCCCACCGTCATCGGCGGTTGTTGGCAGAGGCGAGTTCCCCTCTATGTCTTCTTCTGGCAAGGTGCTCAGGACGGCCCAAGTGCTGGCATGACTAGTTACCAAGTTCATTTGCAATGGAAGAGGAGGAGGAGGGTTAGTAATGTTGTTTCATAGTTAGACACAACCAAGTTGAACTGAAGCTGACGTGACCTTGACCGATTATTTTTGTGGGGGATATTCCACCTGGGTGGCAGTTCTTGCAGTTCGAATTGGGAGTTTGCAGCAGCAGACGT